CAGATACCACAGACTACGACGTCGCGTCTTCTATGTTCACTATTGTGGTTCAGTTGTTTGACTTGGTCAAACCCGCAGACTGTGACATACCCTCATGGCGTGCTGTCGCAAAGGACCGCGCGACTGTGTGTTCTGCTCATCTGAAGTGCAATGAAACTCTTGGGAAACAAATTCTTCTGGAGGTGGCCAACGGAGCATCGCATGATAAGTTCGAAGAGTTGAACAAGCAGGCCGTAACTTTCTTGAAAGCTCTGTCGAATGAAAGCCGACTGTTGCGTTGGTTGGCATGTTCGCAGATGCAAGCGGAATACGGTCAACTACGACGTCATTCCAAGAACAACTGGCCGGAAGCAAGCATTTTTGCGGCTTGGTGGAATCCGGCAGAGGATCATATTCTACAGGTCATGCTCGAAGAGGTCCAGCAACATGGCTTCGGTGGTCATATCTCCTGTCATTTTGATGGTCTTCTGCTGAGCACTTCCATGGTGAAGTCAATCGAGACGGCAACAGGAAAGAACATGATCTTGGTCTTGCAAGAAGCAGTACAGCGAAACACGCGTTTCGAGGTGGCGATTAAAAACAAGACATTGCCTTCCTTTGACGTGTGGCTGTCCAACAAGCTTCGAGAGAGCGATGTTGATGCAGATTTGGGAACCTACCGTGAACTTTTGACTGCCACGCCGAACTCGATTCCAGCTGCGATAACTTTTCTCGGCGCGGACTTAAAGCAGGTTGTCTCTCGTCTGAGAAAGGAGTCGCCGTCGAATGCAAAGGCCGACACACATTGTGTCCGACAGTATTCGGACTGGCATGGCTGTGGGGATCTGTATCTGGTCCCACGGCATGCGTGCGTGCTAAACATCACCAAGGATTTCCTTTTACATCTCGAACTGCCAGAGTCATCCCTTTGTCTGGGGGTCAAGGTTGTCACGAACGACAACATTCTCGTTATGCGTGCAGGCAAGGTCTATGAGGGCACTATGGCACAGCTGATGGATCTACTCGAATCATACCACGGCACGAAACAAACGTTCTTTTTCGACATTGCTTCCGAAGATCCAGACCTCGACGATGTGGAGATCGGGTTTCTTGATCTTCTGGCCGGATCCTCTTCAATCAAAAAACGACCTGCCTCTATCCGACAGCACCAAGACCCACAGAATGACGGCGAGGTTGACGTCGGGGCAGAGCTACGCAGGCTGCTCTGTGATGAAGTGACGGCGGCAATCCGCGCAACACAGGCGCGAGCTGGAAATTTGTTTCCACCAACGGTCTGTCCGTGCTGCCCTTGGAGACAGTTCGAGCGGCGTCGATGCTTGGTGGAACATCTGCAACACCAACATACGGAAGCGAAGCGCTTCTGTCCGGCTGGGACCAAGCAGTTGCGGGTCGTGGTGGCACTATATGATCATGACCGCCTTCATGATCGGACACCGCAGCCGACTTTTCTGGCTAGGGCCAGCGAGCTTCTGCGGAAGACTGTCAAGGGCAACATGCCGCGTAATCGCAGCTTTATCGATAAATCCCTTCGCTGTGTCTTTCATTCAGACGGGCCTGAGTTTGTCAATATTCGATCTATCACAGAGGCTACGGGCTTACGCAGAGTGGGTAATCTGTTCTACGATCGTGGCTTTGCTGATGCATTCCTCAATGCAGCGGCCGCTCACCATGCCTCGCTGCACAAGATACAGGCATATTTCCTGGAGAAGTGCAGAAGGGACGATGGAAAGCTGGCGTCGGTTATTCCGCGTGGCAACAATGGCTTCTGGATGAACGTCCTTGAAGACCTCATGATGTCACCTCTCCTTGAAGCATATACGGCAGGGCTCATGGACCGATGCGCAGAAGCTG